GTAGAAGGTCTCTTACTGCCATCCTCTCACATACCACAGACTACACAATTCCAGCACATACGATATATTTAACCTTAGGAGTTGTTGTTGTCTTACAAAGTTAAGTCAGTTTTACATATAAAATATCAATTAATCTTGAGAACATGGCGAGTTGGTCACTGTGTATAACAGCCAATTCACACAAGACTTAAAAATCACAAAAAATGTATTTGATCAACAATGTTGAATGTAAGGGAAGCATGTTGGTGCAATGGTTAACATTGCTGCCTTGCAGCTCTGGGGTCCTGGGTTTAATTCTGGACATAGGGGTTTATCTGCATGTACTGTACTGTAGTTTGTATGTGCTCCATGTGTTCTCGTGCATTTAATCCAGGGGCTCCGTTTTCTCCTACATGTCCAAAGACATGCTAGTAAATTCATTAGCATCTGGGTAACTGAACTTATGTGAGTGTATGTGTCTGTGAATGCCTGTATCCTGTAATGGACTGGCATCCTTGTCCAGGATGTATCCTGCCTTGCGCCTGTTACTTGTTGGGTTAAGCTTCCCTGAATTAGAAGACGCAGTTAGAAAATGGATGGATGCTGAATGTACAGTAAAAACAATTGATATTAGCTACTAAAGTAAATGTTTATAATATCTCTGCTGTTAATCTAATAAAACTACATAGCAGATTAAGTGAGTAAATTGCTTTACCAAATGAATTATGTAGATTATGTTAATTGGGTGGAGTGGTAGCACTGTGGCTAAGGATCTGTGCCTGTGGCTGGGAGGTTGCTGGTTCAAATCCCATGGCTGGCAGAGGAATCCTACTCTGTTGGGCCCCTGAGCAAGGCCCTTAACCCCAGCTGCTCCGGGGGTGCTGTACAATGGCTGACCCTGTGCTCTGATCCCAAGCTTCTCTCCCTGTCTGTGTCTCATGGAGAGCAAGCTGGGGTATGTGAAAAGACAAATTCCTAATACAAGAAATTGTATATGGTTAATAAAGTGATCTGATCTTATCTTAGAAAGAATAGAGGAACCAGATTGTGCAAGTCTGGAGTAGGATTTACAGGTACCTAGCCTACTGGAATAACACCTTTACTCTTTATGAACAGCACCATGGGATCTTTGATGACAAGGTAGTAAGGTAAATCAGTTTAATTTCTCACCAAGACAGAGCACCACCTACATAACTACAGCGTGTGCTCAGTCACCATAGGGGTGCATTGTGTTTTCTAAATTCTGGCCCAAAGGGAAGAGTACCAACTACTGGGTTACCAACACCACTTGTGTAGCAGTAACATGGTTTTCCTTAGAGATTTCCCATCCCATTAATGAGCAGACACAACCTTGCTTAGCTTCAGAGATCAGACAAAATCAAGCTACAGGGTAGTGATATTGCTGGGGGTTTTTTTCTTAGCTTAAAGCTAGATAATTAATCAATATAGGGGGGTTATACGACATGTTTATTAATGTCCAGAACTTTCAGTTTTTTTAAAGCACTTAATTATATTATTAGTACCACTACTAGGACTATTCAAATATTTCTCGCTAATGTTGAGTCGCTATAGCAACTTAAGAAATAAAATGCTGCAAGAATCACTGACTGAAACTTAAAAAAATACTGAAAATTGTCTCTTTTATTTAATTGTCCATCTTTAATTCTAAAAAATCAAAGAAAGGTAATCATCATGTTGAAAACTGAAACTGGAATCATCACTAGCTGTACCATATTGAATTTAGCCTTTCAGTCCCTATACACTGGGATGTGTCAAAGAAAGACACATGGCAGGTACAGTACATGAAGAATCTAGAAAACTATGTTATGATACAGCAATTACTCACAAACAATGCTCTACATTTTGGAAAATTCTTATGCCAAAAAAGTTCAGTTTGCAAGTTCAGTTGAAAAGAAGCAGACAAATCACAGTTTGATTTTATATAGATAATGAACTATCTTGTGTTACAATCCATGTGTTCCAATTGTGTGGGTGTATGACCATTTAATTTTGTTAAAATATTGCTTTATTGATCCTGTATGCCATACCTCCACCACCACCACACACACAAAGTCATAGTACTAAGAGAAAATGATTATAAAATGAAAATCATTATAACCACAGCATTTGACCTGCAAAAATAAACTAATAGTCAAAGTAATTTACTAAATTGGCATAATTATACATTTACATGTTACAAGAGCTATTATTTTTTATATACTGTACAGTACTGTAGTATTCTATGAATCTCTTAACAAAGATAATATGAATATATAGTATCTCTCAAGCAAGATGGAAAACCAAAATTTGGGGGTTGTTTTTGACACATGTACCACATCTGTAAACTTGATACTGTATATTTGTTTGTGAAATATTCGCATTACTCAGATAACTCATGATAATTGACATGATGTTATAGAACATCTTGAACCCATTAAGTGGAAAAACATTAAGTTTGCTTTCTTTGGATTAATATCAGGTACTAACAGAATAGTGTATGACTCAGTAATGCAATACATTTCTATCATGTTTACTTGTCTAGTTGTACACATCAGATGCAAGAAACCCTGTTTTCAAGTATATAGCGAGTGTATTCATTATGACGATTTATCACGTCGTAATAGTTTGTGGCATTTTCACTTCAAATTTGAAGGAGAATGAGCTAATTGACAGTTTTAACTATGTTTGTAAAAAAAAAGAAAAAACATTTTACTTAAAAATAAATGTCCACTCATGTTAACTTCAATATTTCCTCTCATGTACAGCATGAATGATTTTATTTGACTGCACTCGACTGCACATGCAAGATATATATACATACATAGAAGACATACTATATGTTAGGACAATCCACTAATGAAATATTTCACTAGGAGTCATGTACAGTACTTGGACAAGTGGCAGAGAAAGAGAGCAGGATATTTTTGAGAGCTCAACAAGATTCTCAAAAGCCAAAATAATCCAATCCATTCCTGAACTGAAATTCTATGAACAACAATTGATATTTCTGCTTCGGGAAAAGTAGAAACAGCAGAGGCTGCTGTTCAGCATTTAAAGATAAGAAACATGCTGTCAAAGCATCTAGATTCACAGCAGAAGAATTCCTCAAACCAGACTAGTCTACTTTAATTCTTAAGTGTATGTTTTTTCTTCTGCAAAATGCTTTAAGACTTCCCAGGGCTCTGTCTTAAAAATGTATGAAAGATTAAATTGTGGGCTATAGTTCCTTTAGAATTCTTAAGGTTAGTAACAGATCTTAACAGATATATCTCAGGAGCAGAAAAATGAACAAAATCACACATACAAAAAATATGTATACTAATTATTATTCAAATGTCTATTTTACAAACAACGTACACACAAACGTGCTGTCATTTTGAATTACTATTGTCCACTACATTGTTCTTTTTCCATCTCCTTAATTCAAGCATTTGAATAATCAAAGGCATTAACTAAATCAACCCAATGAATCAGGAGTGAAACATGGAACAAAGGGCACAGGTGGAAATGATAGGAATTGAGCAATTGAGAGCAGGAAGCAGTTTTTCTTTAGCACCAAGGGTTGTAGAAGTCTGAAACAAGCTGCCCAGCCATGTTGCTAAAACAGACACCCCATGTTCTTTTGAGAAATGACTGGATAAGATCCATCAAGTAATCACCTTATAGCAAACAAAAAATGAATAAAACTGTGATCTTTCTTATTCTTATATTCTAGTCTAAGCAGTTTGGCTGTGGATGTGTGGGTTATACTCCTGTCATACAAATGAAGTGAGTGACTGGTGAATTTGGTTATGGAGCTTGAGTGGGGAAGAGGATGTACGAGCATAAGTTTAAACTTAATGTATGCTTTTTAAAGTAGAAAATCAGTGCTATATCTACAGTATGTTGTTCCCTTCTTTTTAAAGCTTTTAATGCCACAAAATTAGAATATTCTCCGTCAATCAGATATTCTGTTCCTAACATAGCCTGGAAAATATTTGGATACTAAATGAGCAGTGAATATTTAATTTTGTTAAACACGTTAAGAACACCTCCATGTCATCCTTATACTAGCTGCTTTATACAGTACTATCACTGTTTAGTTAGAAGAACTGTAGTAGAAAGGAATACTTTCATTAAACAAGTAAAACTGTGTTGTTATTATTACAAAGTGCAACAGATATCAGGCGAAATGTTTCTCTAAATAGATTCCTTAGTGTCCTTGGATGTTGCTGAAAAAGAAATCTTTATATAAAGGCATGTGTTAATTGACATATTGCGGTGAGCTGCACTGATATGTTAATTACACAGTGTGTCACCTGTTACATGCACCATTGTGCATTCGAAAATAGATTCAAAGACTTAACAATGCATCGGTGTCTTTAAAACACTATTTTCGGATTCCCTTTTAACAAGTACTACAGTCAAAGTGGTAGCATTACTGTATGAATGTACTAAGGTTACATTAAAAAAAAGGAAACACTAAGATGTAACTGCCAATGGTGATATTTATTATGACAAACAGAAATCTAAATATACTGTGTTTACAAGAAAATTATTTTAGACAGGTTAGACCCCACAGTCAGTAACCCTAAACACAAGGAAATGGCAAATAACTCGCTGTTAACCGTTTTCCATGTTAGGTTTTTGATTTTTCAAAATAATTCCAGCAAAGCCCTTTGATTGTTTTGCTCAGACTAATACTTTTTCACCAGTCAACGCCGGTTTTTGTGTACAGGCAGTTGTGCTGTCTGCAAACACAGATAATGCTTTCCACGTTTTCACTTTGGGTATTGTAAACCTTTAAAACGCGTCTGAAATGTAGCTGTTTTGCAAGGAACATGTACTATGGTTTAGCGGCAATGAAAACAACCAATTAAAAAAAAAAACAAATTCTGACGCGTATACCTAACGGAAAGGGAAAAAGGTATCAGGATAATCAGAAGTATGAACTAAAACTGAATGGTAAAATACCTTTTTGAATGAAAGCATTTCTGAAATTCCTGAACTGATTCTCATTGTGCCGTTGAGATCTTCCTTACCTCAGTAGAAAAGCTATTTCCCATGCGAAGAATCCCCAAACAGCCACAGACTGCAGCCTTTTTCGAGTCATCTCTGGACTTAATTTGTGTAGACATATAACCAGAACGGGGGGAAAAAAAAAAACTTGACTTCAGTACCCCGGACAGCGCCTACGCGTCTTTCGCCACAATCCAACAAGATGAGCACGCTTTGATCATGGAAAACAAAAAAGGATTACAAGTTGCTGGGTCCCACATGACCTCAAGAGTTACATTTTTTAAACCTATCTGTTAAGTAAGTGAATAACCTTAATAAAAAAAAAAATACACCCGAAATGCAAGCAACAACGTACAAGCACGTTGCAGCGTGAGTGTTTCTTGACACTTAATTCAACATTCCGCGGAGTTGCCGAGATGTGGTATGCCCGCCCCTTTAAAGAGACTGAGTGACATAAAATTCCTCCACTCAGTAAGAAAACCCGGTACGTGAGCGACACACACACGAGCACATAAAATATCTAATTTACACATTTCAGACGAATGCAATGTAAACACGCGCGATCAGAAACACTGATATCTTTTGGTATCTTTTGATTCTGTTTGCTGTACCGTGTGGACGGCGAATTAAAATGATCGTTTATGCCACCCTCTGTGAACAATGCATGCCTCAAAAAGTTAAAGCCCCGGTGTAGGACTATACAATTGACTATGGTTTCTTCTTTCAATTTACAGTCCGTTTTGATTACTCTCAACGGTTACGCGATGTCTAAACTGAGCTACTCTTCATTGGTCTTTGAATCTGACCGATCCTGTATTATGGATGCCAGAAGAAATCTAAAACCAAACGACAATAATTGTACTTTTACAACGTTGGTAATCACCTCGAAACAGGTCTCTGACGATATTTATGTTTTCAGCAAACGTGTTCTGGAAAAAATCAATTTCATTCAGCATAAAATTGGTAAGCATATGTACAGTATGTACCCCCATAAACATCTATAATGTGCATTTACATTTATAATTTACTATATTTTTATACTTGAAATACAGCCATTACATATGTACCCAATATTGTTATTTTCTTGAGATGCTACGCATATCCCTGATATTTATGGTTTCATAAGTTCATATAATCGTAAATAATTGCCAGATTCTTTATGCCTGCGCCTTAAGGCTGGCAAAACAGACCTATTCTGTTATTACAACACTTGTTGACAGCGTGCATGTAGCAAGGACAGCACAAGGACAAAACCATGGTGTCATCATCCAGTGTGTTTTTATGAAGGTACTGTATGAGTAGCAAGAACCACACAAATCATGCCTGGGCATCCAAACCTTCCAGGGTCTGTTTTCAATTACATTCAGGTCAGATAGCCTAGTAGCCAATTTCCTCTCTGAAACAGAAAAGGGGCTGTCCTTTCTTGCATTTTTTATTCCGTCCAGGGAATGGTCCCATGATGTTATTTTCTAATGCAATCTAAACACTGCCTCAGATCTTAAATATACTGTAGATGCTGAAGAACGGACGCATATGTGAACCATGTAAATCTTCTTGTCTTTGGTCCAAAACTGCAGAAGTATTTCATTAGACCAAATTTGATCTTTTATTAAGTATTATGTATTCATAGAGGTTTGTTTAGGGTAAAAGAAGTGAAACAAATCTTGATAACTAGATTTGTATTTGTAACGCCTCTTAAAAGAAATTGAAATTTAGCCAATTTATTTACTAGGGCTCCTAAGGAGATTGGCTTGAGATTAATCGATTCAAAATTATGCTTCATCTAACAGATATTTCTGACTTTTTTTCAAAATACATATGTTTTGGAACATTTAGTACACAGTCTTATTAATTATATTTGCTAGTTTCTTATACTTTATATGAGAAGCACAATACTTTGATGCTTAGATTGTACTGTACATAAAATACTCTAAAATGTTTAAAATAGCATGCTTTTAATAGGTATTTCTTGTTTTATTTCTTTTGGTAAGTATCTTGTGTTCATGATAGTGTGAGTGTGTGGATATATGTGTACTGTAAGTTATGCAGAGGGAATGGCATTTTTTTTTGTACTGCTACTTGGAGACTACCGGGGAAAAAAAGAATTTATGAGCTCAAAGCAATTCCCCCACAATATCTCCTTGCCTGGTTGATAAGAGAAACCCATTTAATTTTTCCATTTAATAGATCTGTCCAATTGATCTTACTGTTTTATGGTTGATGCACTTCAGAGCAATTACTGTAGAATACTCAAAAGCTTTGATATTCCAGTCCATTTAATGATAATATGGCATTGTCCCAAACAACAAAAGCAAAAAAAGTATTTTAAAACATCATTGTCTTATTATGATCATTTCTAATTGTATCTTACCTAGCAGTTTTTACTCTACAGTAGATGCATTTTTGTAAAAGAAATAAAGGCTATATTTCATTAGTAGGCTGAAGTTGTCCCTTCAACAATTTTAACTGACTAAAGGGAATCTTTGTAAAAGGTAAAACTCTTTTTCATAAATTATTCTGATTATCGATATCTGATTTTCTGACATTTTGATATATCTGACATGCATACTCCAAAGTAAACATATTGACCATGAAAGGTAATAATGTGATTAATTATTATTGAACAATTATAAACCAACATCTGTACATTTGAAAAATATGTTATATTACTGTATATTATGTTGTTCAACCTTTACGTGTTTAAATATAATCTTAAAAACTCTTTAAGATATTGAGCAAATTAATTTGGCATAATTTTGATGAGCAAATCAATGTCTGATTGTAATACTCTTGTGTGACCTTAACTGTTGCATAAGTAATAAACTACCTCCTCACTGAAAAGTGTTTTGGGCACTGGAAATGAGTTGATCTGACTTGTTGAATGTCAAGCCTAGTGAAAATCAAGAAAGAAAAACAAAGAAAAATAAGAAAACTTTCTCTCTTATCAAGTTAATCACCGATTTGTAGCATTTTTATATGAATGCAACATGTCAGGTAGACTCATCATCAGTAGTGCCAATATCTATTAACTGTTGTAATGACTTAAAAATAAGGTTCTGTGTACAGCAGATCATCCCAATAGATATTCACGAGTGTGGCATTCAGTAGGTTTGCAGAACAATACCGTAATGTTGTTTACAACATACCCCTCAAGAGCAGGACCATTAAAGCTGGTCTTGGCAGGAGTGTATATTTGGTTCAGAGCTCCATGTATAGTACACTGATCAATGTCAACATGACTGGAAGGAGTTACAGTACATTTGCCTCGTTTTGGGTACTAATTTTCTGCCCTTCATGTGGGCTCATCCTGACATGAGAACATGCTGCTCATGTAATCTTTGGTACCATTTTCTTTCTTGAGCTTTCTTGTGAGATGTGAAGCTGGGAGTTATCCCATGGATACCCTGATCACCTCATTAAACATGCCCTTTTTTGACTTTGCCCTTTGAGAGACGTGGGACAAAATCTCACAACACAATGCCTACAACCTACTGCAAAAGCACAAATCATAGATTTATAGCTTATATTTGTTTCCAGACAGTGACTACGCATACAACTATCCTGTGACCTCCACAATAGACCCTGATTAACCCCTTCTATAACCAATGTTACTGTTAATGTCATTGCACCTACACACTACTACAAAATAGGCTTTGTTATATTTCTTTTTATAACTTTCTGAATTTGTTACAGTTACAGGTTAAGCAACATGTTTGTCTTGATGTGCAGTATATGAACTACATTATATGTCTACTAAGGATTCAGTGTATTGATTGCATATCATATAATGTCAAAAGATGAATTAGTCAATTACCTTTCCGTAGAGCATCCATAAATCTTCATGTGTGCTGCATACTAAAGCACAGCTTATTAGGGACATGTCAGTCCTATGGTAAACCCTGGCTTAGAGGTTCTGCTAGGCTAAGCCATGATAATGTGCGAAGGAACTCTTTTGAATTTCAATTCCACACTTCTGAAATCACGTGTACTAAAGCAAATGTAGCAAGATAAGAAATTAATAACAATCAAAAATGGATAGTACTGTTTAACGGTCCTAAAATACCAATTATTTGCTTCAGCACCTTCCATTCAGCACATGCTATACATCCATTAAAGCTAAAAACCTGGGATTCGGTCAGGATTTATATAATTCATTTATAAGTCTATACGTGCAATCTTATGCTGTATAGTATGTGTACGGTAAAATGACAAATGAGAGTATAAGAATACTATTGAACCAAATATGTATTTGCAGCATCAGGTTAAGTTCCTTCTGTATTGGTTATCAATGGCAAATTTAACTATTCAATTTTTCATTCTGTAGTTAAAGATGACATCTGTTAATATCCATTTGTGGAATATGTGAAAACCAGTTTCAGTGCTAATGTTCGTAGTGCACAGTGCTACCTCTCAATTTTAAGTGCTAAAGGAAAACAACAGCAGTTAATCATTTATGGAGTCTATTCCTTCTTTTAACCTTGAACCTTTCCTCAGAACAAATGATCTCTCACATGACTGCTTGCTTAGTGCATGGGATTTGCTGTGATAGCCTTTAAGGAGTTTCTACACGTGTGGTGTGGTGTTGAATTCCTAATCTTTAACGTAGAAAATATGCAGTACAGTATGTGCCTCATTCATAGTATTCAGAAAACTCATCTAGCAGGATAGATTTAAAAGTAAGGCACAATCTTGCAATTTTTTATAAAACTCTTTTATTTTTACTCATTTTCACACCTGAAATTGAACTTTAAGGCTCTTATTACTTTTTGACAATGTCCAATTCATGTGAAGTGAATATTCTTCATATATTCACATACATCCTAGACTCTAAAAACTCCAGCTGACCGCATACTTTAAAGTAGAGATCTTCTATGAGACAATGCTAAGTGACTCTACCGCAGCATAAGATTGGATTTTTAAAGACCCCAGGGTATAAGATGCCACAGTGTAGCTTACCCCAAACAAATAATAATAAAAAAGTTCTGAAGTTTTAAAATAAAATCAGAGATCAACTTCATCTATTCTCAAGCACTTAAAAGTACACTGACGTCTTCCCCTAGCCATCACTCACTAAACTGGAAAGTTCTAAATTCCTTCAATCTGTCCTCATACCTCACACTCGCGTCCTGAAAAAGGTCTGGCCCCTTTTCTCTGGACATCCCCTGTAAAATAACGAAAGACGCACAGGCACATCCTCCGAGACTCGCTGTCAAGCAGATTACACCCGTCTGTCACTGGAGCTCTGAAACTCAGACAACAGAGTTTAAGTGTCAACCAGAAGATGAACACAGTTCCCAGTGATACTTCACAGTCCCATGGGCTTCCAGGCTGCCAGTCAAAGACGCTGCAATCATCTCTATCCTCTCCTGCCCTATTGCTGCTTTGCCAGTTTTGCACTGCTAACGGA